GGGGTGAGGGTTTGGCGCACCCAAACAGAACCTAAACCTTCGACCCAGTGATATCCCTGAATGGCTCTTAACTGTTTGCCCACCACATTTATGTGTGTGTATATATATGCATAGATATACACATATCTGATCCCTAGCTATATAGGACTCTCTATATTCCTATATGTCAGTGTAGCTGCCCTCAAGGAGCATCCAGGAGCAAGCTATGTACGGACCTGCAAACATCAAAATTTAACTGGCCGGGGTTGGTCACTTTACGGTAAATCATTTTTGCAAGGTTTCACACTCGTGTCGCTCCTTGCTGCTGGATGCAGAAACAAGCGCATGTCCAACTAGGAAGTTTTACCATCCAGCCTCCGCTAGATCCCACTAGAAGGGGGGGGTTAGCTTGAAAACGTCTATTTAGGGCACCCGCTGGGTCGGGACCCCCCCAATACAAGCACTTGGGGAGGGGCCTCCCCCCCCCCTAACAGACCCTATCCCCCACCCCCAAATCATGGCAGTTTGCAGGTAGGATTTGTATGTCTGTATTTGCATGAAAATAGTTTCGGTCAGCAGCAGATCTTTGGCAGCACATGGCCTACCAAGCGTCGAACCTTGAACATGCACAATCGCCGAGGGGAGTTCTGACATGCCAGTGTGTGCGTGTCAGTCCATTTGTGCTCAGCCTGTCAAGTTTTCCAAACCATGAGAAAAGGATAGAAAAGGTATGGAAAGAGTCAAGTTGAATCAAGCATACAGCTGGGGAAGGCAGGGAGATGCTCCACACAGTGTGAGTGAGCATCCAACAGGCTCACATTTTGTGCTGATATGGAAACTGGACGCGGTTTCCGCGTGCCCGCGTATCATGGTTGGCCGCTCATGCGCACCTGTGTGTCCAGCTTGGAGGTCACAGCCACTCCATAGGTTTGGTTGGGGGACAGGACCCAATCCCACCATGATGAGAAGCAAACACCCCCCACCAGCCAAAGAAAGAAGGAAGCGGGAATTGTGCCGCCACCCATTGGGCTCCATAGTCGCGGCGCCATCTGGCATCACACCAGTGTGAATAATGCACATTCACTTGCTGCTGGATGCCAAGAATGCTTCGGCCGCCCATGCGACATGCTCTTGACCCAGCCATGTAGCCCACGGACTCTCGTAACCGTAGCATGCATGTCACTCCGCATTGTCTTGAACAATTGCTGTAGAGTTGGTCAACTCCGTTGCTATGCTACTTTGCAATTTGAGTTCTGGTCGTGGCTCCAGGTCTTGTGCTGTGCAGGTCTGCGGGGGTGCGGTGTTGGAGCCGCGCAAAGCCCTTGAACACTGGGGGAGTTTCACAAATTTGCCAAGAACAGAACTTTACAAACACCGTGACAAGAGGGTTAGAGGGTCAAAGCACGCGAGCGAAGCGACGCAGGCGCATGGAAAGCAAAACGTTTCAAAATTACCAGTGCCGCTCACACAAAACCTGGTGGCTTTCTGCCTGTCCAAAGCATGAAGGGCTCGTTTGCCTTCAGCAGTCCCACATGCAACATTTTCGGGGGTGGAGTTGTCGTGTTTGCCGCCAGGATTGGGACCAGACTAGATCAAGCATCATCTCATACTGTAGCTGCCTCTTGTACTCGCTCTTTCACCTTTCGTACACCTTGGCACAGTTGTAGAATTGTGCCAAGCATCGACATATGCGAAGTGGCCACTGTGCATGAAAGCTGTGTGCACAGCAAAGGCTCTGTCATCCAAATCCCGCATGCCTGTGATGATTGATGCCGTACAGGCTTCTGCAGATGAAGATCCAGGTGAAGATGGATCAAGAGCACAGGACCCAACTTCAGCTTGGCATTGCGTTTGCCAGCTTTTGCATTTGAGAGAGGACCTGTCCTTGGTGTCTACATCTGCAAAAGCGAAGGTCCTACGGAGTAAGATTTCTTGCGTTGCTCCTCGAATGCATGGTAGTCGAGCGAAAAGATGCAAAAAGAATTGATCGCCTTGCCACCTGTTTAAATGTGAACCACTGAAAGCCCCACGTCCGGCCTGACCCGAGCACAACGCAGTGTTTTTCATTTTGAGTACCCGTGCTATGACATTTTTCTTGGCCAGGGAAAAAGGTGCATTGAGCCGTGAGTGGTGTTGAATAATGCTATATTTCCCAGTGTAGGGTGAAAGCTGAGCAGTTTGGCTCCTGAGCATCAGCGGGTTTCTTTGGCATCAGGGATATGCGTCATAATTTCCGTGCCGGCAGGTCGTTGAACAGACTGAATCTTTGGAACAAGCGGCTGGCGAGCCAGCTGGTGAAGCAGCTGCCTCCAACTCAAAGAAGTGGCAAAGAACGATCCTGGTGCTGAAGATGTTCGCTTGCCGGGCACGGAGGCAAGTCGCTCATCGTCCTCAAGGCCCATCCCTCAAATGCGTTGGAACATTTTTTCTTTGCAATGTGGTGCTCAGGACTGACCAAGGCGGGACACTGCTTATGCACTTGAGGTTATGGCAGAAGTTTCAAACCAGCATGCAGCACTGAGGCAAGTGGGGTCGCCAGGCAGAGGCTCATACTTGCATAGCAGGAGCAAACTGATGTCGTGAGCTCTTTTGCACAAGGCCTCAATGCTCGAGCAACACGAGGCATATGAGTTGCGGAATTTCTCTCAGCTTCGTGTGGCAAGAGCTGGCAAGACCCAGGCGTGCCCTTGTGCAGGTGCCCGCTGTGATGCCTGAGCAATCGAATCCTGAAAGGACTTGTCCCTCCCTTTCCGTCCACGAGCAGTCCCCAACGACTTCGTCATGGGATCCACCAAGCGACGCTGCACAAACTCCAGAACTCTCTCAGCCACAGCTGGCAACCAACCCCATCCCAGCTGGAGCCAGACCTTCAAGTCTTCGCATGAAATCAGAGCCCCTCAGACCTTTGCTGGAAGACCGATTGGAGGAACAAGGCTCGAGCGCCTTGGTTACACAGCCGGTGGCACTGTCAACCCTTCATTCGATGCCGAAGTCGCCCACAGCAAAGCAGAAGCATTTGGTTTTCATGGTTGACGGAGAGGACCTTCCAACATCGTGACGGTCAGAAAGAGAATAAACGTAACTTCTGGATTTCAGAGGGTTCAGGGTTTGTCTGGAGGAGCTTCAAATCCTTGGAGTTGATGCCCCTGACAGCAGCGTTCCTCCAGAGGCATGTTGCGAAATGAAGCAAGCTGAACAAATCTGAAAAAGCTTTTTGGACCCAGGAAAGTCCAAGCCGAAACCGACCAGCAGCTGGGGCCGGCCCCTTGCCACCTCCAGAGGCCAACCTCGCACCTCAAAGACTGCAAAGACTGCACGTATTGGCAGGACAAAGTCAGCGGAAGTGGCAGAGACCCTGCTCAGACCAAACATTGGGGGAAACAGCTGGAGCTCAATTGAGGTTTAGATGCGCAGCACCCAAGCAGCATGGAATCCTGCGAGCAGGACTCTCTGACCTGACTTGGGTTGTCAAGCTCTGATGCCTGAAATGCATTTGCTGGCCGAACGGCTGCAGGATGTGGTTTTGATTCAGTTGGAAGACGAGGACGTTTTCCCAAGACGTTCCAGAAGCCATAACCACCCTGCGTAACTTGAGAGCCCTCCATCCTCTGCTCGCTGGAGAGTCGATTCCGTGTGAGGACCTGCAAGGAAGACGTGATGCCGAAAAGAGGCGGCACAGCTGCGACACACACTCGTGCAATCCTCCCACCGTCTTATGCTGCTTTCCTTCAGACTGTGGTGAAGATCTTTAGCGGAAGTTTACCGCCTGTACATAGCACGAAATGCTTCCTGGATAACGGCTTGCAACAACATTAATTGCACTTCAGAAGCTCCCGAATCTGCTTGCGCATGCTTGTGCTGCAACGCGGAAACATGCGCAGACATGCACAGCGAACGTATGTTCTTCATTGACATGTTCGAAATAACCGTGCCCGCCGCACACGCGCGCAGGCACGGAAGGCGCACGCACACCGTGCACCGCACACCGACACACACACACACACACACACACACACGCGCGCACACACACACTTGCGGATATGAACCTCTGAGGGTTTGTCTCATGTGTATCGGTCCATCTGGACTCTCCCAAACAGACATACACACACACACACACGCACACACACACACACACACACAC